TTGGAATTATTTGGGATCATCCCTAGTTGTTCCCAGGTTTATTCCCAAGGTCCATGCTAGCTAGAACTATTTACTCCTTCTCTGTTTGTACCTGAATATAGTGAAATTGATTCAAGCGAATTCCTTCCTTGCTGGAATTTCCTTTCTACGCGGTGCGACGGCGGAATGCTACCCGAGTCAACGCTAGTACGCTAGCACTCCAACGCTAGGCTAACGCTGTCCGAGCCATAACTTCGTAATGGCAGAACTTTTCGCGAGGCAACTTGGCTTATCTTTAAGCTCTTAGAGTGAGCTTCGATATAGGAAATTCTCAGCTGAATCCGATCGACGGTCTGCACGATACGCTGCGCGACGTTCAAGGTACTCTTGCTGTTTTGACTTAGTCCCTCTTGATCCCTCTCTCTACAAACTCGGACCCGAGGATAGGGGCTGGTCTTGTACCAGGTACCCAAGGACCCTTGGAGGTGACCCCGAGGAGAGGTTTTAAGTTTGAATAAGTCTTAATAGCTTGAGTTTATTAGGCCCTTACACCAACAGTCCGGGTCCAGCAGGGTCTTGTGTCGTGGAGATTTTATTTCGCTCGGCGATTTTCCCTGGTAGAGTCCGTTCGTGGGTTGAAGAATTCAGTCCACGATCCTCCAATGTTTGCATTAATTTTGCTCCACTGCTGCGGTCCCTAAGCGTTGAACGTGCAGTTCTCATTTCGTCACAATCGATAGCTCGATGTTCGGGCTTCTCGCAGAAAGAAGACTTAGATTTGTTCTTCTTTGGTCTTGCCTTCGCGTCGATTCGATCGAGTTCCATTGGGTCGGCGCACGTGGGGGTAGCCAAGCGTCCTCCATGTCGTCTAGCTCGTCCATGAAGTCGTTGTGTTCCGATCGTGGTTACGTCGAAACACTCTGCTGCCGAAACGACGTCGTTGTAGCTGCTCCAATTTGCGGCCGATAAGTTGCAAATGTCGTCGCTGTATCGCAAACGTTTTCGCCAACAATTGAACTCACTATCCTGTTCAATAAACGCGCGAGGGGGGTATTTAAAAAAACGCGGAATCTGGTGCTTACCAGAGTCGGCGCTGAATTCGTCGCCCCTGGCGGTTTTTCGAAGCAGGAATTTCTTAAGCGCGCTGCTTAGTTGAAACTCCGCGAATGAAAACGGCTCTGATTACCATGTGTCACAGGATCGAATTTCCACTCGAGAATGTTGCACTAAAGGTGAATACAAGGCGGATTTATACTCAGAACTACATAGAAACAACAGATAATCCGAACCTTCGGGAACGCGCTCTTCTAGAATAGATATCACAAGTGCGCTTAAGCACGCAAGCCCATTGGCACTCCGGATTATAGCAAGATTACGCCTTGTACACCACTGTCGGTGCTGTCGGTGTCGTATAATGTAAATGTCGGTGCCGAAAATACCAAATAAGTGAAATAATTGGAAATCTCTAGAAAATAGAATAGTAGTCCGATTGAGGTGAAATAAAGTGCAAATGAAAGAGGAAAATAAGGAGAATAAAATGGACTAAAAATATGGAAATGAGAAATATGTCGAACCTCGGCGTACTTTCACAGCGACACAATCAGATGGTTGAACAGTTACTGTGCACAGCTTGCAAAGACGACGTTAGCCACTGGGACACACAGTTACCGGCCCTAGAGTTCGCTTACAACAACGCATCACATGCGGCCACAGGGAAAACTCCTTTCTTCCTCTGTTACGGACGGGAACCAGTTACACCACAGCAGCCAATCACACCGGCACAAGTCCAAGCCGCACATGACTTCGTCACAACCATGCAGCAGCTATAGGAGAAGACTCAGGACGCGTCACATTTGAAAAACCGAGGAAGGATCGGGGATTTTCACCACATCGGTGTGCCATGACTGTATTTTTGCAATCGCGGGCCCAGCGCAAGTCCCAAGTGACACGATTGAAAAATCATGGTGCAAAATTGCCCGATGTGGACGAAATTGCACGATCGATTTGTAACAAGGGCACATCGTTCGCTCGACTCCGAGAGGACAACTGTACAATGGCGACGGATGACGAAGAATGGTAACCAGCACTTAACGACGTCGTGAATGCGAAACACCGATCTTGTGCAGGATCAATGTTTCACTTGTGACGCGTCTTCAGCGACGCCTCATCACGATGCAGAACTTCTAGAAGCATGATGCCGATCGCCAGCGACGTAATCACTCAGTAGCAGACGGAGATCAGGTGCTTCTCGACACGCGCAACTTGAACCTGTCTCACCTACCATCCAAGCTCCGATCTCGCTTCTGTGGTCCTTTTCTCGTTGAGGCACATATCACACCAGTTACATTCTGCTTGCGCTTACCAGATACATGGAAGCTTCACAACGCTTTCCATGTCCAGCTACTGAAACCCTACAAGGACCCCAACCAACAGTTCTAGGGACGGCATAGATATGCTTGGTTTCCTAGACTAGGTGCTTTCCTAAAATTTATTATAGTTATAGCACCGAACCAGGTTACGTGTACCATACTCAAGCCTATTCGGTTTCCACCGAATTGCTTTCTACCGAGTTCGAGAAGGTTCTGTTCGGGATGCTTTGCGACCCTCATAACATTTGCGTAACACTTGGGTTACCTGCCTTGCGTCGAGCCTACATATAGCCTCGTCTTGTACTCAGATGAAGCATTCAATTCAAACTCTTTTTCTTGTGCTTGATTCTAAATCCTCACATTATAGAAGCGTACTCTTTTTCAGTACCTCATTAGCTCATATAGAGCACGCGGCAGACAGAAAGTCACCCAAAGGTCAACAGTCACAGGGAGTCAACAGTTGTGACCGTTGACCGTCCAGCAACCGTATCGGAGGTTAGCGATGCAACCAGGTAACTGTCGAGAATGGCAATTGTCGTAGTTGCAGTAGCTATAGAATTTTATTGATATAAGAATGTACAGGGCCTCAGATTCGTTTTGGGCCACGCTTTGTCATCAGTGTTGGTCCTTGGAAAAAAACTTTCTATCAGGGTCCCTTGGAAAAAATTTCCCTGAAAAATCCGTATGGTCAGGAAAAAAAATCTACTGGATAAGTCGAGTACTACTAATGTACAGCCTCCACTGGCCCAGTAAGTAGAATTGGGACTTGTGAATAATGGGTTTTGTCAGAATCCCAACCACTAGACCATTGGGATAAAAGGGCTTGTTAAGTAGCAGGTCAGTGCGCTCATAACCCCCCAGGTGAACGCGCCTGTAACCCTCTCCAAGATCAATCAGGCATCCACAGTGCAGATCTACTAACACCCCCCCACACTGGGAGGCCCAGGACTAAGCACAGCGGCACCTGCCTACATGTGCATACACCGGGAATTGAACCCGAGACCGCTCTGATACCATGTCAGAATCCCAATCACTAGACCATTGGGATAAAAGGGCTTGTTTCAGTAGCGGGTCAGTGCACCCATAACCCCCCAGACGAACGCGCCTGTAACCCTCTCCAGGATCAATCGGGCATCCACAGTGCAGATCTACTGACAGGTTTCGTGTTCGAATCTGGTCGCCTTGTTCTGTTGTCTTCCTTCTGTCGGTGGAGAATGATGACGAAGATTTTGCCAGATTTAATGAATAAGCAATTTCGTGAACAAGTATAATCTTGCTACATTGAAATTCGAATCAGGGCCCCCTTGTAAAAGTTGGCTGAAATTTCAGGCCCCCTTGTACAAGGAAGTTAGCTAAAAAAGCAGTGTGCGGATAAAACTTTGAACTTTTTCAATCAGCCTCGGAGCCTAAAAAAACACTGAAATCAGTGTTCAAACCCAAAATCTGAGTAAATTTTGTGCAATCTGAGGCCCTGGAATGTACCTCTCAGAGAACCCATAAACACCCCCTCCAGTTGTAGACCGACGGGTCTAAAATACGAGAGGGGGGGGAGGGGGTACTCTATTTGATCCGTTTTAGTTATAACCCCCCTTTTTTAGTGCAATCATTATAAGAACCCCCCATCCTTATGAAGAATGTAGCATTTGCCATTTTTTGTATTGAAATCAAAACAATTTCAGAAAGAGCAAAATTTCTCCCCTTCCGATGACTGCGCGTGGGTATCGCGGAGTCTGTCAGAACCATATTGTAGGCTGTAGTGGGGTTGACAATATGGGGTACAACTCTTTTACGTTTTCATATTTGAACCCACCTGCTTCCTAGTTGATCCCATTCCTCGTACTTTTCTCACATGGTATAAAGCAGGTTCTCTAGTGGGACCGTTTTTTTTTTAAGGGCCCATCACTGTAAAAAACTTTCTGCCCTGCTCGAAGCGCGCCTCGGGCTCTGCTCTACTGCCGCCCTTAGCGGCCTGCCCTGCCGTCGTGGCCCTTAGTGGCCTGCCCTGCCTTCGCGGCCCTTAGCGGCCCGCGATACCGTCGCGGCCCTTAGCGGCCCTCCCTGTCGCCTTAAGCGGCCCGCCCTGCTGCCCTTACCGGCCCGTCGCCGCCCTGCCGCCCTTACGCGGCCCACCCGTCCCTTCGTCACGGCCCTGCGCGGCCCGCCTGCCCGTCGTCGCGGCCCTCCCCGGCCCGCCCGCCTCGTCGCCGCGGTCCCTTCCACCGCAGCAGCCGTCGCCTCTGCTGCCGCCATTGCCCGTGCAGCAGCCGTCGCCCCTGCTGCCACCGTCGGGCCTGCAGCCGCCGGTGCGACCCCCACTGGAGTCGCCGCTGCAGCCCCGCCGTTACGGCCCTGCCCTACCGCCCTGCCGCGGCCCTGACCTGCCGCCCTGCCGCGGCCCTAACCTGCCGCCCTGCCGTGGCCCTGACCTGCCGCCGAGTCGTGGCCTTGCCCTGCCGCCTTGTCGCGGTCCCTGCCCATCCAGCGCACCACGGCCGTGCCCCACCAGTCGCGGCCTCTTCCCTCCCGCCACTGGTAAGCGCACTACCGCATCCGCGCCGCCTTGCCGAGCCGCGCCGCCCTTGAGAGTCATGCCGCCCTGCCGAGTCGCGCTACTACTGCTGCTGCTAGGCTACTGCTGCTGCTCCTGCAGTCATGGCTAGCCTTAATGTCCTTACCTTCGATGATGAGGGTCGAGCGGTCGATTTTGAGGTCTCGGTCGATGACCTGCAAATATTTCTGCAGAGCGATAACGAAGACGGAGTCTCGCTTTTTGATCTCGCGTCTGGCACCTCTGCTGCACCTGCTGCCAACGCTGACAGTGCTGTTCGCTCGCAGTGGACCACGCACGATGCTGCTGCCCGTCTTGCTATTCGCAGTCCCCTGCCGTCTGCTGAGCGCACGCACTTTAGCCAGTACAAGACCGCTATGACTCTGTATGACGCTATTGTTGCGCGCTACTCCTCCCCTGCCACTGCTGCCCTTAGTCGCCTCATGCTGCCGTACCTATTCTCTGACCTAGCTGCTTTTGCCACAGTCGCTGACCTCATTACGCACCTCCGCACTAGTGACACCCGCTACCGCGCTGCGCTTCCTGCCAAGTTCTGCGCCAAGAACCCCCCCCCCCCCCCTATATACATCACTCTCTACTACCTCGTCACCCGGCTCCCTGACTCGCTTCGCTCGGTCAAAGACCACTTCCTCTCCCTTTGCCCCACCACGCTCACCGTTGACCTCCTCGAAGAGCGCCTCCTTGCAGCAGAGAAGAGTATAGTTGCTGTAGGAGCCTCTCGTGGTGACTCTCGTGCCCCTTTCTTTGAGGGGTGCTCCCCGTCCCTCTTTTGCCCTCTGTTCCGTCTGCTGCTGCTGTCGACCTCGTTAGCACCGAGTCGGTTGGCGCTGCGTCTGCTCCCAGTGGGAGGCACCGCAGCGGCAGGAGCAAGAGGGGCAAGACTGCTGGAGGGGATGGCGGGGGCGGCGGTGGTGGCGGTGGAGGCGGCGGAGGGGGTGGCGGTTTAGGTGGGGGTGGTGGCAGGAGTGGGGGCTTTGGTAGCGGTGGTGGAGGAGGAGGCGGCGCAGGCGGCGGCAGTGGGGGTGGAGGTGGCGGAGGCGGCGGCAGCGGTGGGGGTGGCGGCGGCGATGGTGCTGGTTGGGGTGGCACTGGGCAGCGGGGAGGCTTTGGCAGTGGTCAGCGCCAGCAGCAGCAGCGCCCTCCTGAGACCCTGTCGCCCCAGCAGCTTCGTAAGTGGTATGTGTTGGTGTAAGGGCCTAATAAACTCAAGCTATTAAGACTTTATCACACTTAAAACCTCTCCTTGGGGTCACCTCCAAGGGTCCTTGGGTGCCTGGTACAAGACCAGCCCCTATCCTCGGGTCCGAGTTTGTAGAGAGAGGGATCAAGAGAAACTTAGTCAAAACAGCAAGAGTACCTTGAACGTCGCGCAGCGTATCGTGCAGACCGCAAATTGGATTAAGCTGAGAATTTCCTAAATCGAAGCTCACTCTAAGAGCTTTAAAATAAGCCAAGTTGCCTCGCGAAAAGTTCTGCCATTACGAAGTTATGGCTCGGACAGCGTTAGCCTAGCGTTGGAGTGCTAGCGTACTAGCGTTGACTCGGGTAGCATTCCGCCGTCGCACCGCGTAGAAGCGAAATTCAAGGAAGGGAGGAATTCGCTTGAATCAATTTCACTATATTCAGGTACAAACAGAGAAGGAATAAATAGCTCTAGCTAGCAAAGACCTTGGGAATCAACCTGGGAACAACCAGGGATGATCCCAAATAATTCCAAGCAACAGAACCAACCTGGCTGGACAAAATAGCAGGTGGTAGGTTGGTGAACAACCTCTGGTTCTGTTTTTCCAACCTGGGAAAACAACAACCAGGTTCAGGTCCTAAAAACAGAACCTGTTTTGTCTTTGCCCAACCAGCCAAATGCTGGTTCCGCTGGTTTCCCCTGGCCCTGTAGCATGCAGATACAGACAAACAACATCCAACCTTCACCTAAATTCTACCCCTATAGTGCCTGCCTTGCTACACTATAGTCAACCAAACAAAACAGTACAATTTCGAGTTGGATAGAACTGAATCTGCGCAATCAAGTAAGCCGAACCACAAAGCTTCCATCTTGGGTTCCTTTGCGAGCTCGTCCTTTCTGCTTGTACTGTTCATAGCGCGTACAATGTTATGCCGAAGCGCACATTGTGCGAGTACCTGCAAATGCTTCAAGCGAGAATTGCGAAAGCAAACAAACACACGAACATACCATTCACACGCAAATGCATTCGCACACGCATACTCGTACAAACAGACGGCAGGATGTCGTGCAATGTGAATTTGCACCCAACACACTCCCCCTCAGCCTGCCGGCTGCATCTCCATCATTCCATACTAGTTCATGCTCATTCCACTCATGCGCACACAACGCCAATGAGGCTCGTCCGCAAGCCTCTTGGTGAGGAAGTCTGCTGGCTGCTGGTGACTCTTGATGTAGATCGGATTCACCGTCCCCCTCTTCACCTCCTTACGCAACCAGTGCCACTTGATACGCATGTGCTTGATCAGCCCATGAAGCACAGCGTTCCTGGCCATCCCAAGAGCTCCCTTGCTATCACAAAACAGCGGCGTAGCAACCTTTTGCTCCTGGCCAATCTCCTCTAACAGTCTCCTCAGCCAAATCACCTCCTTCACCCCATAGAACATCACCATGTACTCTGATTCCACAGAAGAGAGTGCTGTCTCCGTCTGCTTTTTTGACCTCCAACTAACCGGTCCTCCCCCAACTACGCAGATGTATCCTCCCACAGATGAGGAATCCTCCTTCTCAGAGGCCCACGTAGCATCGGTAAAGCAAGTGAGAAAGAGCTTGCGTTCTCGAAACCTCTCCCTTTTCTCTTTCAGCATCTCAACCCCTTTCTGCTTCACTTGTGCAGATGCGGAGTATTGAACTCCAATGCTTGGGTGAGAGTTCAGATACTTCACCACACGCTCAGCTGCATCCACCTGCTCCTCTGATGGATTCTGCACCACCCTAGCCAGCTGCCCAACCGAGAAAGAGATGTCGGGCCTCGTGTGAACTGCTGCATACAAGAGGCTGCCCACCAAGGACTGAAATTGCTGCTGCTCCTCGGCTTCAACCCCTTCATCCTCTGCAGCTTTCACAAGCTTGAATTCTGCTGGCAGGGGAGTTGCAACCTTGCGCTCATTCTCAATTCCGTACTTCTCCCCAAGCTCCTTGATGAACTTCTCCTGGTGCAGCTTCAACCACCTGTGATCCAGATCCCTCTCCACGTGCATCCCGAGGTAGTACTTTACCTCCCCAAGTTTCTTGCACTTGAAGTTCTCCATCAGCTGCTGCTGCACCTTCTGGATCTCCTTCATGCTGCTGCTAAAGAGAAGAATGTCGTCCACATAGACCAGAAACAGCACCAGCTTCTCCCCCTCTCCCTTGAGAAAGAGGCTCTCATCACAGCTGCTGGTCCTGAATCCCATCTCCTCTAAAACAGCTGCCAACTTCTGGTACCAGCAGCGTGGCGCCTGCTTCAAGCCGTAGATGGACTTTTTCAGCTTGCACACCCTGCCCGTACCATCCTCATACCCAGGTGGCTGCGTCATGAACACCTCCTCTAAAATCCCGTTGAGAAATGCCGTTGATATGTCCATCTGGATAATGAACTTCCCACTAACGGCTGCATCTGCCAACATGACACGAAGGGTAGGGGGTTTGGCAGTGGGAGCAAAGATCTCATTGAAGTCCCGCTTCTCCTTCTGCATAAACCCCTTAGCCACCAACCTACTCTTGTAGATGGTGACCTGCCCCTTGTCGTCAGTCTTGATCCTTAGCACCCACTTGCATTGTACCGCTTTCTTTCCCTCAGGCAGCACCACTAGTTCCCAAGTCCCATTCTCCAGCAGGCTCTGGTACTCAGCATCCCTAGAAGCTAGCCATTTGTCCCTATCTGGTCCAGCTAATGCCTTCTCCATGCTAGCTGGTTCCTCTGGTGCAGGGGCAAGAAAACAGTAGGCAGGTTCATCCTCCTCATCCGGGTCATAGCCATGCGGTAGAATCAGCAATGCCTCCTCAGTCCCAAGCTGCTGCTCCGCTACATCAGCTCCTGCAGTCAGCTTCTTAGTAGCCATACGGGTACGTCCTGGCCTGGAGACGGGTGTCTCCCATCCCTTCATAACGACACCCTTCGGCTTCTTAGTTTTTCCCTGCTGCTGCTCTCCTCCCTCGGATCCAGCAGTTCCACTAGTGCTACCGCTAGTCTCCACACCATCACCTCCACCAGCAGGTGCCTCCTGCACCTTCTCTTTATCACCACCCTCTGCAGCTGCCTCCTCTCCCTCCTCCCACACACTACGAGTCAGGTCCAGCTGCATGGTGATCTGCTCCATCTGCTGGGACACCCTGGCCTCCGGCTGTTTCTCCCAGCTCCCATACATCATGCCCTCAACAAACTTCACATCCCTTCTGTCAAACAACACACCCTTGGAAGGCTCCCACAGCATCCATCCCTTGCTCTCAACAGCCAGCCCCAAATGCACACACCAGATTGCACTCGCCCCCAACTTACTGCGGTAGGTCTTGGGGACGTGGGCGACTGCCATGCAACCGAACACCCTAAGCATGTCCACCGGCGGCTTCCTCCCAAGCCACCTCTCCAACGGCACCCACGAGTCATCCCCAACCTTTGTGAGTACCCTGTTTCTAGCGACGGTAGCGTGCCGAACAGCATGGGGCCACATCAAGTTGCCCAGCCCAGATTCTATGAGCAGCGCCCTAGCTGTCTCCAGAACTGTCCGGTTCGCTCGTTCTGCTACACCGTCAGACTGTGGGGTGTAAGCCGTGGTCAGCTCCCTCTGGATGCCCTGCTTCTTGAGCCAGGCCGTCATCTCAGCTCCAAGGAACTCACCACCCCGATCTGTCCTAATCCGCTTCACCACACACTCCGCTTGCTTCTCCACGAACGGCAGCCAATCGTCCCGAATCGTGGAGGCGGCGTGATCTTTCTGCTTCAGCGGATACGCCCACATTAGCCTGCTCCAGTCATCCACTATGGTTAGGAAGTACCGCTCCCCCTTGTGCCCTTGCACCGGCAGCGGCCCCACCAAGTCCATGTGGACCAGTTCCAACGGCTTTTTGCTCCTGCCAGCCACACTATGGAAGGGGAAATGGGTGAACTTTGAAAGGAGGCAAATTTCACAGTTATCATCGGGTGGTTGTCCGTTCAGCTTCAATCCCTTAACGGCTCCATCCTTCTCCAGCTGCTTCAGCAAAGGCATTGCCACATGCCCCAAACGTCGGTGTGCAGTTGCCCAATCTGTCTCCCCATATCTTGCCGACACTTTCACACCAACCCCTCCAACGGCGTTGCACTCCCCCTGGGATGCAGACCCCTCTCCAGCCTGCCCCTGACCGTGCCACGCCAGCGCCGGCAGCTGCCACATAGATCTGTACACGTCCTTGCTCTCGTGCAGATCCCAAAGCACCCGATTGCCCAGCTTCCCCTTATAAGTGCGTGCCCCATCCGTGCTAGTGCTCACTCCAGACTTGCCAAGCTTACGGAGGGAGATGAGGTTGGCCTTGAGTTCAGGAACAAGAAAAACGTCGTGCAGCACCACCGGCTTGCCATCCGCTCTCTTAAACGCAGCTCGTACCGCACCAGCCTCCTTCAGCGCGTGTCCAGAGGCGGAGCACACCTCGTTGATCGGAGCAGCTCGTACGTGGTCTAGCAGGTCCTTGCGCGGCGTCATTGTCCAAGCAGCGTCTGTGTCAAACACCCAATAATCCAGGGGGTGCAGCTCTGCTCGAGCCTTAGCAGATGCGTCTCCTTGCTCCCCCTTGTCGCCCACATGGAAGAATTGGCCCGCGGTGTGCTCCTTCTATTCCGCACCGCCGTTACCCTTCGGGTTGTTGTCGGACGAATCAGCGACCATGTTGGCGCCGTTTTTCTGGTTCCTCCGCACGCCGCCATCCTGGTGACGATTCTGGGGGGTCCATCCATCGGGTTTCTTATAGCACAAAAACCAGGGGTGCCCTTCCTTCTCACAATACCAGCAACTCCCTTTCATTTTGCCACCAGCACCAGACTTGCCCCCTCGTCCAGATTTCACACCGCGACCCCAACCGGTACCTCCTTGTTGGTCGTTGGAGTCGTCGTCTTTCTTTGTACCGCGTCCAGCACCACCGAAGCCAGGTCCTTTGGCACGTAGGCTCCCTTGTATCCCGTAGCCGCTGCTGCCGTCGTCTCCACCCCTCAGTTG